ATTTAGATTTAGTATAATTTTGCTGAATAAATAATGTTCATTCGTAATATTTTTTAAAGTAAGACATGAAATAAACGTTTGTACCTTACGTTGTTTTCATTTTGTAAATCTCTTCACGGATAGCTTATCTATCTAGATAGCTCTTATAAATATGTATTGTATATTTATACTGGGTGTCTCTAAATAGTGGATAGAATTTAAAGTGTTAAAAACTTAAGTTTAAAGCTTAGTAGATTCTCATTAGTAACATTTAAAGAAATATAAATAAATATTTTAATGTTTTGCAATATTTAAATAGTATTTTAATTTACTATTCGACAACATACTTACACAAAGGAAATGGTGTATTTAAATTTCTTTTTTTTTCTATATTGAGCATATTTAGTACTATTAAAATGTATCATGAGAAGACTTAAAATTGATAACTAAAAGTAAAAAAATATATTTACATAAAATGTCAAATTTTAAAATCCGTTCAGTCCATTATTATCAACATTTTTTTTTTATTTTTTCATCCACAACATCGCAAGCATTATACGCCGAAAATTTTATACGTAATTTTATTATTACCTAGTTTGATATTTATTGAAATAATATAGCAGATATATAAATAATAGTTTTTAATATAAGGAATTCATTATTTTTCCTTGGGTTATAATTTTTTATATAATCAACAGGAAATATGCCTATAATGCTCTTAAATACTTAGGCTTTTTCGGACGAAAATAATGAGTTTTCACCCCGTGCCATTATAAAACTTTATTATAAAATGAAAACTGATAATCCACAACCTTAGTTCTAAGTTTATCGTGTCTATGAAATATCCTTAAAATTGAGTTGTTGGAATACAAAATTTAATCAAGCTACAGAACATATTCTGTTGCAATTAGGTGCAGCCTGTATACAAATCAAAATACATAAAAAAACGCAACGACTACCTACTTATTTAAACGAAGTATTTATGTCTTAAAAGTCAGCACAAAGAGTCCATTTTTTTAACGTATTTATTTCATACTTAAATGTAATCGTTAATAAATACGATGTACATGATCCTTGATAGATAACACTGTAATGGCCACTGTATAAAGATACTTACTCAAATCACACATTTCATTCTATTTACAGCTGTCAATGAGTACACGTGGAGAGAGAATTTGTCGCTGTGGTTTTTCCTCACAGCCCTCTCATCAAGGCTGTTTAACTTCTTTTTATCTAAACTTAAACAAATTATGATGATAACAAAGATTATTTTGTCGCAATAAAAAGTGAACTTCAAAGGTGGTATTATTTCAAGTGGACTGCACCTTTGAACTAAAACGAGATAATAAAGAAACTGTTCACTCGGTTCGTATCACAGTGAGACATAGTGTTGATTGGTTACATATTTTGGTTAATATGAGTGTGGAGAATACTACCAGAAAGGAGGAAAGGGGGGACCTTTATTGTCCGTATGAGCACAGAAACGTAAAGAAACCAAATTCGTAAGTATATATTATTCACACAGTACATCTAGATTTAAGAAAGTACTATTTGAATTGCCTGTGCCCAAATGTTTTTATAATGTATATTGGATACTTACATTTTGAACCTCTATATATTTATTAATTATTTTGACATGTGTTCCTCTTTTTTACTTAATTATATTTTTGTTTTTTTTTTTAAACTATTATTCAATTCAAAAATTTTAATTATATATTGTAATACAATGGGAGAAAACTCGCATACGCGTTTTCACATAGTTCATTCTTACTGACTTCTGTTGAAGAAAGACTTGCTCAAATATATTATTAAAGTAATATAGTATTTGAAAGAGGTATAATTTAACTAATTAAAATGCTAACTATAAACATTATTGCGTTTACTACATTTTGCATCACATCTTTATTTTTGTCCTGAAAAATTACATGGAAATCACATACGAGGTATTCACTCTAAGACTACAATATAGAATAAATGCGAACATTGTATACTTTGCTATTAATAATTGTATGCCATATGTATATCAATATTTGCTGACACAGCACGCTGGAATTTAGGAGTAATCTTAAATATATAAACTGTATTCACCGTGTATGATTACAAAAAAATATATATCTCTGTCTATCTATTATTTTTGTGTTATTAAAAAAATATTCATTTGATCTTATGTATAAGACTTTATAAGGTTGTATTCTAACCATTTTTTATTTGAAGAACTTTAGGTTCTACGTCACTTATTTATAATAATGAGTAATAATATTTTATTACTTCCATACGGAATTATATCTGTTACATTCTCCATCATTACTAATTTATTAGTCAGAACAGCCTTCGTCGTCCTTTGTCAAAAGAAAAGAAAGTCGATCGTCGTCTTTTGTCCAAAATTTTGAAGTCCTGTCAGTCTAGTAAGTCTGTCTTTGTGGCCTGTCCGTGCGCTGGTCGTCCATTGAGGCTGGAAGCTGGTCGTCCATTAAAGCTGGACGCTGGTCATCCATTGAGGCTGGACGCGACAATTGTAATTCTATTGAGATTCCATAACATAACATTAAAGTCCACTCGCGCTAAATCAAACGTAGTGAATGCACTGCAGAAACGTAGCAGCTCCAACAGTGCCCTAAACCTTTAACTCTGTTGAACTATTATGCCTCCGTGGCCGAACGGTTACCATGCTGATCTGCCACGCAGAGGTCCCGGGTTCATTTCCCAGGCCGGGAGAAATATTCATATGGCCTACATTTACTTTCTCGTGAATTTTGGTTTAATATGTAGTTGTACATGGGGCGCACTATAAGTTTCCGGAACTGGCCACTTACATAAACAATGTTTAGCAAGTAATGTAATAGAAACAAACATTTGAAAATGAAACTCTTTGGCTGTAGAATACAGTTTGTTTCATCTGACTGTCACTTGTTTTTACATTATGGCATCATTTTAGAAATTGGTTGTCTACATCACCATGGATTTAAGTCGTGAAAATTTTCCTAGTATGATTTTCTACGACTTTAAGTGTAATTTAACAGCTTCAAACTGCTTTAGGCGATGAAGCACCATGCAAGACGACTATTTATAGCTGGTTTGCAGAATTCAAACGCAGTCGTGTGAATCTCAGTGACGAATTTCGTGATGGTCGCCCGTCCACTGCTGTGAACAACAAAAACATCGACACTGTGCGCCTTATGATCAAAACAGACAGGCACCTGACATACCATGAGGTTATTATCTTTAGGCATAGGCATGAGTCATTTACAATCAATACTACACAAACACTTGTGTGTGAAACATCTCGGTGGATCCCACACAATTTGACTGAGGCTCAAAAAACGGATCACGTCACTTGGTGCAATGCCATGCTTATCAGATTCAATAAAAAGGCGTCAAATTTGATATGGGACATAGTAACAGGTGACGAAACATGGATTTATAGTTACGATCCCAAAACTATTTTTGTTAACAAATTTAGATGAGCCGAAATCAAACAAAGTGGCGCGGATGATTGCTTCTTTTTTTTTAAATAAAACTGAATACGTGGCTACTGTTGCTTTGGAGAATCGTCGTACCGTGAATAGTGATTGGTATACGACCATTTCTTTGCCGGAAGTTATTGACAAACTCCGTAAAAATAAACGTAAACGCCGTGACGTCTTGCACCATGATAATGCCAGTTCTCACACGGCCAGACAATTTTCATCACCTGAAGAGGCTGTCAAAGAGTATGAAAAATATATTTCAGAGATTGTCACAGAGCAGTGGCATAAATGTTTAAATGTTTTCAAAATTGGTTCATTCGTATGAAAAAGTGCATTAACTCTAACGAGAATATTTTGAGAAACAATAAATTCAATTCTGACTGTTTATAATATTTTTTTCTTATTCATTCCGGATACTTATAGTGCGCCCTACGTATTTGTGTATGTCCATGGCACCCGCGATACAGGGATTCGCTAGTGCGGGGCTATGAGTGTGTACGTTAATAAAAAAAAGTATTTACACATTACCAATGTTAAAGGAGTTGAATTTCGTTAAAAGCTTAACACCTGTGCTAGAGGTAATCATTAATGGTGTAATATTCCTAACACTAATCGCCTAACCTTGAAAACATTCAAAGATAACAATGCAACCGAAAAACAGCGAAAAACTGAAATAATGATTTTCGGAACAAAAAGGCATGCACAAAGAATTCGTTTACATCAAACTTAAGTAGTACAATACCAAGAGGCCACAAGTATTTCTTATCTTATGGCAATAATGCAACTTATTCTTTATCAACCAGACGACAGTCTACGTTTGTTGCTTGCACCTGTGCTAATTACTTTAACTTTATCAAAACTCGGACGCAACCGAGTTGCCCCTCACTTAAAATTCGCTTAATTATAACGAACAAAACATGATCGCTTTGACATGGGATTAAAAAAAGCAATATTTTGCTACGGAGTAACTACACGACTGACAGTTTCTCGTTTCGTTTCTCGTCCTCCGTCCGAAACAATTAGGTACTGTCAAATCGATACCTCCATTGAACACTACGACTCTTCTTTATCTATCTTTATTTTTGGTCATGTCCGTAGTTATTTTGTTTCTATTTTCATAAAACTCGTTTTTTTGTTTATTTTTCGTATTTTGTTTTCTTGTTTCTTTATTTTATCACAAAATTAGGGGAGCATAATATTAGTGGGTATTTCTCCGAGAAGAGCTAAGTTATCTGATTTCGGTGGTCGAATTTTTTTTCTTAATTTCAGAAAAAAACATTGAGTGGGAAGGAAACAGGACTCAAACTTACATAAGATTCAGTTAATTGGGCAACTAGGTTCTTAACAATTGATGACGTATTAGATCCACCGAATTCAGCTACCACCGAATTCAGGAGACATAGCAATCTTGGTATTGTGAAAAAACTATTGACCAGTTTATTGTGAAATTTAGATTATAAGTACTGTTATCTAATTTATTATGCGTGAACTAAAGTTTAATACAGGTTTAAATTTTGAGTAAAATGACACTTTATGTTGAATTCTGCATTCGGGACACGCCACCGTTGTCAGGTTTTAGGTATTTCGGATTTTTATTTTTGTAGATTTTTGTTTTGATAAATAAGTGGAGTTTAGTGCATGGACACAGAAAATTGCGGTTTTGGAAAAATACCCTAGTAAAAAAATAAGGCTGTTTACTGTTTTAAAAACAGAAAATGGCCAAAAATTAAGTTAGCGTAGTGGTCATTGGAGGTACCGAAATAAGTAATACTCGATCAAATCATAACACAATGTAAGGTATGAAACATCATTCGCATTCGCATTTTTTAGTCGAGTATTACTTATTTGACAGTAATTGTTTTGAACAGAGAACAGGAGTAGACCCCATGGGCCTTACGCGCTCACATCGCCGAATAAAATAATCAGGTGCTTCCGTTGTTCAAAGTTTAAACAACAGAAATGAAAGTACTTATGACTTTCGTGTGATAAAACCACTTTTGGCATTTGACGTACAGACCAACATGCAAACACTGACTATTATGACCGTCTACACATGGAACCAAATAAGGACTTAAAATCATTGACTTACAAATAAACGGACGACGGGTCTAATACAAAAACCACGAAAAAATGTCCCAAGTCCACCTATTTAAACGTAGTGGCATGTAAAGGAATATGAAAAAGCTAAAACGTTGTATTTAAATTGTAATGTCATCGCAGTATCACGCTGTCAGTCGAAGAAATGAAGACTAAAGCGGAGTTTGACGCTCTCTATACGATTTTAACGCCTTACAAGTTCGGACACTTTTTAGCGCGGACCCGACGTCCTTAAAATTGTAAGTCAATGGTTAAAATAATAAAAATGACCATAGTGATTTACTTGCGTATTTAACTATTTGACTCCTTTAATGCGAGTTTGGTGTTTACTGTATTTGTCGAATACGCAAACAATGCAAATGCTTTGTCACACATGCTATCTACACATATGGTGAATGTTTGCCAAAAACATCACATGCGCAAATACAATAGCTACGTGAATTGCTACCATTATACCAAGGTTACGATGTTGTTGATGTATAATATTATAATAGGGCTAGATTAAATGATTTTTAGTTGTGAGGAAATACTTTTATAGAATTGCCACAGACAGCGCTATGGTGAAAAAGTAGTTAAAAACCAAAAACAAAGATCCGACATCAAGCACATAGAGAAATTCTTGAGGTCCGCTGGTTCGTTCCGTGGCTTAGTTGGCATAACGTCTGGCACGGTTTGCTACGAGGCGTCGGTTCGAATCTAATCGGATCGAACATTGACTTACAATTATATGGACGTCGGGTCCGCGCTAAAAAGTGTCCGCACTTGTAAGGCGCTAAAATCGTATACAGAGCGCGACACTCCGCTTTAGTCTTCATTTGTTCTACGGACAGCGCGATACTGCGATGACATAACAATTTAAATTTCGAATAGGTTGACTTGGGACATTTTTTTCGTGGTTTTTGTATTAGACCCGTCGTCCATTTATTTGTAAGTCAATGGGATCGAAGGAATTTTTTCTAAGTGTTCGATCTTTGTATTAATAATTATAACAAATTAGTGGAGTAATTTCACAAAAAATAATTGAATATCATGGTGGTCAAACATCCTGACATTCAATAAAAACTTAATTAAATGATTTTGTTAAGAAAAACAAATATTAATCATGTTATGTTATCGCTACAAGCTATTACGAGGACATCTACTATTGTATTTCATGATGAACAAGAACATCTCGCCATATCATAATATCACATCATCACAATGTATTTCTTTTGTTTCAGAGACATAAGGTCGCTAGCAAACCTTGTGAAGTCTTCTCTAGGGTCAGGCATACTAGCTATACCTCTGGCATTTTCCCATTCAGGATGGGGCCTCGGCATTGTAGGCACTATTATCATATCTATAATTTGCACGCACTGCGTTCACATATTTGTAAGTGTTTTATTATATCTAAAGATAAGTAACAAAGATTAAATTAATTAGGGGCATTACAAATCATCTCCATAACCTTCTAGTTTATTTAAACTTTTATAAGCATTTTTTATAGCATATGTATTAATATATGCTTATATCTTTACAAAAGTTTCAATAAATTAGAAGGTTATAGAGGTGGTTTGTATACTTATATATATATGGTGTATATAGGTATAATATAAGTAGAGCAGTCGTAAAAAAATAGCTTTAATACTTTGTTTTACTAACCACATAAATAAATCAAGAATAAAATATAATATATTTAATAAAACGATAAAAAAATGTTACCGTTTATAATGCAAATTAGGTTTTCACGAATGTTACATATTAGAAAGAATCATTTTTTCAGGCCTAAATCGTGTACAATTTGTTTTTTAAGGGCCTGAAACGTTGGTTTGTTTGAAAAAACAAATACACGCAATTAATATATTTACTATTCATAATACAACGCCATCTAGTGGCGGTAGGTGAACTAGATGGCATTATATTGTGAACAGAAATGTTGGTGATGAATAGGTGACACTATTTATAATTGATTAACTTTGAGTTTTTTTTATGTGATTTAAAATACAATCGTTATAGGTATAGATCCGCGAAAAACATATTTTCGTTTCCTAACAGTTTTAATACACAGTAATAAATAGTAATAAACAGTCGTTTTAATTTAAACATTGAAATTTAAGAATAGTTTATGACGAGAGTTAGCGTGCAAATTGGTAAAAGGCAACCAAGGCGAATTTACTATGACCAAATTGAGGATGTCTTAAAGGCTAAGTTAAGAGTACCTTAAGGAGCATAATATGAAAGGACTGATTCATGGTAATAACGCGAGAGATGTGTGTCAGAACAGTAGCAAGTGGAAAGCTTTTGCCTACATCGATGGGAAAAGGGCGTGAAAATATATATGATATGGTATCAAGTAACGGAACGAACAAGTCGTGCGCCTGGTGGTAAGCGACACGCCACAGTTGCAGTGCCACTCAGAGTTTTAAATCGCAAAGATCCGAGAGGCACTGCCACTGCGCCGGTCGCCCTGAAACATAAGTTGACAAGTCCCATGTGCTTGTAATTTCACCAACACCCTTACACTTCAAAACTGGAACGCAGTAATGCTCATATTATTATCTACTGCCTCATATAATATACATATCTTAAACAACATCTTGTTAATTTTAATCACATTGTTTGCTCAGTGTTTTCAACTCGCTCTTCCTACGACTAATCCATGCATTATGATTCTAAATAAGTACTTAATATGTTCATTGCTACTTTAGTCTTTTGGGATATAAATCGCGTATATTTTTTTTTATCAAACAAACTTTTCACTCTTTACGGGCTTCCATGTCTGCTGATTGTAAACCATCGATATATAACCAGAAATAGAGACGAAATAAGGGCTTTCCATCCCTGGCAACTCATCGGGCAAATGGGCCTTATATCACTTTTAAATGTCAACTCTCGTTTGTTCCGAAATCACAAATTAGAAAGCTCAAATAGTACAGCGCCAACAACTGACCTGTGTGTACGTCTCCGTGTATTCCAAAAATATTCTGTATTTATTGTAATAAAGATAATATCTCTAATAATGGGGGGCTGTTCCATTCGGGGCGGTTTGGGATAAACAGCAAAACATCTAAAACACCCGTCAAATGTTTCGAATTCGGGCTGGCCAAACGGAGCGCAGTTGTCGCCGTAATGATTTGGCAGAATAGTTTTCAAACAAATTAAGTGACATTTTGACTATATTTCTGGTTATATACTCGATGGTCTCAACGAAGATTCAGTGGAATGGCAGTGATGGCATTCATTCATTCAATCGCTATTGCCTATCGATGTTGCCTTACTAAAACTACCTTGCAAATTACTAAGCATATCTTAATTTTTATCTCGTTTAATCAACAATTTAGTCTTCAAATTAAAATTATATAATATTAGTGCACTACGCCATGCCATCGATACGCCATTGAAGAGCAGAATACCAAAAAATTGCAATTGCAGTTGAAAAGTAGCTCGCTGGCTAGCCCCTGACAAGCCACTACTCTTAACCAACCACCAGAATACCAAACACCATCGACATACAACTGAGGTGATTTAAAATTAGCAGACTGGGGCCCAGAATAACAAATATTATAATAATTGCAATATGTTGGAGTTTCAATCGAATTACAATTATCATGGTTTGAAAATATTTGCATCACGGCTGACTGAAGAATGTCTAATTAATGGATGGATTTTTTATCAGACGTGATTAATGGATGAATGAATTTAAGACAAATGTTAAAAATTTTTTCTGGGTGTACCTACTCAGCGCGCAGTGACTACAATTCTTAAGATATTTTTATTGGAACAAAAAATATTTTTGATTGGCAAATGTTTCATGTGTTAAATACTGTAACAATTGAATAAATGTTATCGGAGATACCGTACTTATAACCCCAGGGTACTGGACATACTCTATTCAAAAACAAAGTAGTTATTGATACCATTGTTTGGCTTATTTGTAATTGTTTATTTACAAATGTACATAAATGTTTTAGGTCAGTTCTTCGTATACGTGCTGCGTAATAGAGCGACAGCCTTCTATGTCCTACGCCGAAACTTGTCATGCGGCGTTTGCCAATGGTCCAAAAGGAGTCAGGCCGTATGCTAGTGCTGCTAGGTCTGTACAATACATATTTGTCTCAACTTTTTATTTTTTGATTATTTTTTCACAAGTTAAAAGATTTAAGAATATAACACATACTTAATTATAAATTCAATGTTAAAAACATACTCAAAATCAGAAAGAAGATCATTTTTGTTTCATCTAAAAAAATATAACAAATAGTTTTTCATAAAAAACTATGTTGAAACTGGCTATCAATAAAATTTTTAATTATTCTAGGACATTCGGTCTAAAAAGTCTAGTTTTTTTAATTTGTGGATTCTGTAACGGTAAAAATACAATTACGTGTAATAAAATTGACCAATACGGTTAATAAACATTTTTTGTGATTTAATTTTTTCTTCAATATCCTAATTTTAGTGGGGACTATCAATTTTGGTAATCCTACAAAATTTCCCTATCATATACTTTGAAACCTTCTTGACATTTTGAGGCGCCATTTATATTATTTTTGAAATTAATTTTTATTGTAATACCGAACCATATTTTTTCTTTATATTATTTCCCATTACTTTTCGGGAAGCGTATTCTGTTACGCATTGGAGCGATGCCACATAGTACGTCGCCTAAGCGGTGACGCTCCGTTGTACAACGGACAACATTTAAATTAGAACTACAAGCCACTAATGAAACGGCACGCGGGCGCGGAAAAAGGGCCCGGTGGCGAAGCGGGGAGGGAGGGTAAGGAAGCGACGACACGGTACTTTGAGACCCCGCATTACTCGTGTAGCACTCGGTGCATTGAAATCGTAGCGTTGCGACCATGTAACGCACCGGCAACACCCGTGTGGCATCGCTCTTAGGAAGGAGGAACCAAAGCGATTCGTACGAATGGGTGGTATATCAATAAGCCAATGTCATAACAGTCTTTTATAATCTATATTCAGCTGCTCACCAACCCTGCTATTGATATTAACAAGTTAGTTTTTTTTAGGGCATTTGCATTTCTAGCTTTGCTCTGCACGTATCTTGGCGTTTGTTGCATCTTCACTGTGTTAATCGCGGAGTCTATCAAACAGGTCAGTTTTATTTGTTATATTATTAGCAATACAAAAAATGGCTTGTAAAGCCAGGAATTATTAAACATAAAAAATATCAAAACAACACGTTATACTATACGCACGTTGTATATATTTTAGCAGCAATAGAACTGCTTCTGAAATATTTCGTCCAGGCAAATCCTGCAACATGGGGGAGTCTTGAAAAACACAGAGTATAAGGGAACCAAATTATTGTAATTGTTTTAATTTTGCGTGATTTTGTGTGCCTTATTTTGTTTGCCTCGATTACTATCACAACTACTGTCGCCTAAACTGGCACATTAATAATTTAAAACACTATCATATCTTGATAATGATTGGTCATAGTTTCAAGTTTAAAAAAAATCTGTACTATTAATATAATTTAAACTTTACGGCTATCGTTGTAAGTTCAATACCATCAATACCTATTATTGCAAGTTACGACGTTTTGATATTGAATTTTCAATCAGTGTGCTGCCATCTAGCAGTTACTAGCTGAACGACGATGAATTCGATATGTTTATTTAGTTCTCCAAAAAAGTATAAGGTTTACTTTCGTTTCTTGTCACGAAAAGAAAATTGTTACGATAAGCAGATAATAAAAAAATTATTGAAATTTAGTAAAATAAGATTTCACAATGATCCGAAACACGACCATAGACAATGTTACAATTGCAACTATAATTTATGCGACTATCACCCCAGATTAGCAAAATAGGGTATTTTTCTGCGATTGCACAAGATAATTGACACGACCATGACGTACAAAGCAAAAATGGCGGACTGGGCTCAAGTTTGCGGAACGCCGCATACTGTTGGCACGCGTGTCACGCAAACTAAGCTCTTCCATTGTATTTGTTTACTGTGGTGAAGCCCATACCCGTAATGTAAAATGTTTCGTACTAACACATTTTGTTTATTATTCCAGTTGCTCGACACCTACGTTCAAAGTTTTGTCTTATCGACGGAATACTATTGCTTGATATTACTGGTCCCTCTATGTATACTGGTACAAATTAAGCATCTCAAGTTCCTAGCGCCTCTCTCACTATTGGCTAACATATTTCTCATTGCTACATTTGTGATATGCCTCTATTTCATCTTCGAAGCCAAATTGGACATCAAAGATAAAAAAGTCATCGGGACGTGGCAAGAATTTCCAGCGTTTTTATCGTAAGTAATTTGATTATTAGATTTAATTTAAAGGCGAGGAACATTGTTACCAAAGACGAAATCAAATCCAAAATCCTATAGGTACAAATTTTACAGCTACGAATTCTTAGAAACAGATTAGGGAACAGCGTGACAAGAAAGTGAAAGGTGAATGCCTACAGTCAATAATCTCTGGTACTCGTCGTGCAGGGAATTCCCTAATTTGACACCAGGCAATTGGTGTAATTGTCTGGCACATTATTATCACAGAATATCGCAAAGTTTGCGTTTATGTTTCAGTACGGTCATCTTCGCAATGGAAGGCATTGGGGTGGTGATGCCAGTTGAAAATAATATGAAGAAACCACAACATTTTCTCGGATGCCCGAGTGTGTTAGTCATAGCCATGGGCTTGGTGACGGTGCTGTATACGGTTCTCGGAGTTTTTGGTTACTTGCGATACGGCGACGTCCTCAGAGGTACCATTACGCTCAATCTACCAATGAATCACTGGTAATAAATTATGTTCTAATAAAATAATAAAAATCTTAATTAATGCGAGGTATTTCAACGTCAGCCTAGATTCTAAGATGTGAGGTTTTAAGGGTCGCTCTGTTTTGGTAAAAGTTCAGTTATGTACCGCATTTTTTACGCGTTACCTACCATTAGAATTACTTTAAAATCCAACTTCGATTTTCTAAGTAGTTTTGACCTACGGTGCAGTATAACCATTTCCGGAAATGCGGAATTCGAAATAGTAATTAATTAATATTTGGTGGTTTTCATAATTCAATATCACTCCTTAAAGCTATATCTATACATGTGTCTATATTTTATGTGGAACCCCTTTTTCCGACCATTGCTATAAGGCTTCAATTGAAAACCAAAATAGTTATATACAAAGTTAGGTATTTTATTCTTAATTTATTCGTTTTAGACTTGTATTAGCTTGTTTCCAGAATTTCTTATCATAATGATGACGCATTAGCACATTTTTTAGACAATATCCTTAGGCGTATCATTTTATATATTTTTTGAAAGATCATAATTTAATAGTAAATACGTAAACCATTTGGTCTAGCAAAACAGTTTTACCGCTTATCTTTCGGTGAGTCGCTTTAATTACAAAAATAGAATTCTAAAAGCATATTTGCATAGAGATATTCCTTTACGAAACCGATTTATCGAAATTGGGATTTATCCCATTCGACTTTAGGTGCAATTGGGGTCGTCCACATAATATTGCTAAGTCTGCAGGAGTTCTTAATCGGAGTAAGGAAAGGCATCCTAATATATTCTATTCATCAATGAATTTGATGGAATTTCGGAGTAGTGTATTTCTCATAAATATTCCACAAACCTGTTTTTAATTTCTATGTTACGTGTGCTAGTCACATACATGTTTAGGCAGAGACCCTCTTCTTTGCGGGGAGCCGTACTGTATGACCATCGAGTATATAACCAGAAATAGACGAAATAAGAGCCATCCGTCTCTGGCAACTCATTAGGAAAATGGGCCTTATATCAACTCTCGTTTGTGCTGAAATCACGTATGAGAAAGCTGAAATGTACAGCGAAACATCTAATTACAAAACAAACGGAATCACATTTCATCGGTTTCAATCACATTTGTACCCTCGTTTGCTTCAATTTTGTTAAAGTCATATCGACTTAAATACGTGAGTTGTTTTTAGTTAATATGTCTGAGTCTCATGGTGGTTATCTATTTAGAATTTGGCAGAATAGTTTTCAAACAAATTAAATGACATTTCGTCTCTATTTCTCACAGACCACATAAAATCTTCCTTCCTATTTCTGGTTATATACTCGATGTGTAAGACTGATGATGATATAACTAATTAATTAGGTAGGTACCTCGTTATACCCATTAAGGTTTGTACACCTTAAGTAAAGGAGGAGGTCAATTCGACTGATTTTTGTGTGTGTATGTTGCGCGATTTAAATAATAATAATAATAATAATAAATAACAACAACGACAACGACAACGACAACAATAATAATAAAAATAAAGGGAAGCCTTGTATGGACGTGTGTCCATGGCACCCGCGACGCAGGGTTGTATACATGTCATGTCTATGTGTGTACATAGACAACCACAAATTACACCCAAACTCACTAGAGAAATAAATGTAAGCCATACAAATATTTCTCCCGGCCCGGGAATCGACTCTGGGACCTCTGCGTGGCATGGTAACCGTTCGGCCACAGAGGCAGTAAAAAAAATTCTTGTTTTGTTGGAAAAGAGGTACCTCAATTAGTGGTCCCATTCAAATTTAAAAAAGATATTTTTCACAAATTAGGGATGTTGTAATATCTTCTGATTTCACCTACTTTCCGAAAGCCGATTTCAACAAAACTTGGTAAATAGATATAATTCCAGAAACTTCTTTTCTTTCTTCTTCTGTTTTTTTAAATTGTAATTATTATTTTCAGGCTCGCAATATGCGCAAAAAGTTTTATAGCATTATCAATATTCCTGACGTATCCTCTTCATTTCTACGTGGTCATAGATATTATAACGAATACCGTAATAAAGCCTTACGTCAAAGACCAGTACGTGAATATTGCGGGAATCGCTACCAGAGCAGCTATTGTGATTGGTTGCGGTAAGTATTTTAGCAGGCGTCCGGTATTTGCAAGACTGATTTACATTGATAAATACCTGGACCCAGTGTCGCTGGACTGTGAACTGGCAATATGAACAGTCGTGCATTGCCTGAGTTTTGACAATCACGGTTTGCACTGTGAAATAAAGACAATTCGGGTTTGAGGTTGAGTAATTATTTCTGTTTTTAGGTGGTGTAGCCATGGCTCTACCTTTATTGGAGCAGATCATTAATATTGTCGGAGCCCTTTTCTACTCTATCCTCGGCTTAATAATTCCTGGAATTATAGACACGGTTTGCAAATGGGATAACCTAGGAAAATCCAAATGGATATTGTGGAAAAATATATTAATTGTCCTTTTCGGTCTTACCTGCGCCATCTCAGGAACCATGGTTACTGTATTTGATATTATACGTATATTAGGAGAAAAAACTGAATAGCTATTAATATACATATTTGTAACTTTAAATTATTTAAAAAATGTCTTTTGTTTTATTGTTAATATACTCAGGTGTTACTTTGTATAACCTTCGCGAACTTTGTATACACTAAGCAACGTTTACGAAGTATGAAGAAAATTCGAGGTTAATTTCTGGTTTAAACCACCGAATCGTCTAGATCAGCGTTTCCCAAAGTGGGCGATAACGCCCTCTTGTGGGTAATGCAAGCCTAAAGGGGGGCGGTAAGAGACTCAGAAAAAAATGGGGGCGGTAAGAGACCCAGAAAAAGAAATGGGGGAAAAAATGGGGGCGTTGTGTAGAGGCTTAAGGGGAGATTTGTAATTTCATCTAGGGAGACTCTTAGACACCGACTGAGCTCTCGACTCTCGACTACAACTTGTGAACGTCAACTAATATTAATTAAGAGATTGCTCAAACTAACTCGGTTCGATATTTCTCTCCGTATACTTCATATATCTGTCCTGTTTTATTGAATAAATAAAATAAAAATCATGTCAATCGGTCGCTCCGTTTCAAAAAGAAAGTAGACACAAACAAACAAATAAAAAGGCAACAGACACAGTTTCGCATTTTAATAGTTATTAGTATTCCTAGATAGGTAATTTTCGAAGATAATGGACCGCGGGCAATCATGTTTTACCAAGTTTTTGTTAAATAACCCGGATTGTGCATTCCTGTATCAATCTGCTGGTTCATAGTATACTTGTTCTTACTTGTTGAGTACGATTGAGCGTCGAATGAGATAAACGAGTTTATGCATGTTTGTCTTATTCCTGTAATATTTATTTTATTTTCATTTTCGGTTTCGCGCGTAATAGATAAGCAGTACTTAAGTTCAACACTTACTTACGTATTTCTCAAAACAAAACAATGTCGGAAGTAAAAAAGAAGAGACGGCAATACTGTGCGGAATATATTAAATTCGGATTCATTGAAAATCCCACAAACCCATCGTCGCCTTTGCGCCTTCTATGTCTAAAAACATTTGCGAATGAAGCAATGAAGCCTTCAAGACTGCAAGATCATTTGAATAAAATGCATCCAGATAAGAAAGACAAAAATATAGCATATTTTCAAGACCTAGAGAAGAAGCGTAATACTCAGCCAAGTGTAGCAAAACTCTTTTCGGCGGCTGCTAAGCAAGATGACGACGGACTTCGAGCTTCGTACAATAAATATCTATTTGTTAATTGCTCTAAAAGGCAAACCACACGACATCGGAGAAGAGTTAATTTTGCTAGCAATAAAGGAACCAATAACTACTGTGCTTCATAAACCGGCCGCAGATATTATCCGAAAATTCCTTTGAGTCATAATTCTGTGCAAAGACGAATTGTTGAAATGGCTGAAAACATTGAAGAATCATTGTGCAATCATCAAAGGACTAGTCAATTCTCAATTCAGCTCGATGAGTCCACTTTACCAACTAATGAAGCATTGTTGCTGTCTTACGTGAGGTTTATTAAAGATGAGAAAATATGTGAAGAAATATTGTTTGCTAGAAATTTAGAGACCGATAGAAAAAGCGAAACCATATTCAATACATTGGAAAAGTTTTGTGATGAGAAAGAGATTCCCTTGAAGAATATTATACCAGTTGCTAAGCTATGGCGCTCCGGCTATGATAGGGTGCCATGAAGGCTTCATAGCGTACTTAAAAAATAAAATTCCAGATGTCCTTGCGTTATATTGCGTTATTCATGGACAACATTTGGTTGCTAGAAATTTAAGTGAACGACTATTTCAATCACTGCAATATGTCATCAAAGCAGTCAATAAAACCCGTAACAGCTCTTTGAATGATAGATTATTTCATCAGCTTTGTGTTACTATGACGAAGATTTCAACCGTTTGTTGTTTCATACTGAGGAATCGTTGGCTATCAAGAGGCAATTTTACAACTTGTTTGACTCTATGATAGAGTTCTTAGAAACTAAAGATACAGAATTGCGCAACAAGCTCATTACATCAAAGTATGATATAGCTTATATGACAGACCTGAATAAATTGTTCAACGACATGAATCTGCAACTGCAAGGCGATGAACTAAATTTAATTAAAACAAAAAATGTCATTGCTGCTTTCGCAGCCAAACTGCTTCTACACAAAAAGAATATGGGAAGACGTGAGTTTCACAATTTTCCGAACTTATCAGTATCCTGCAGTAACGACGACTTGTTTGCCTACTGCCAACATTTGGAAAACCTCCACATTGACTTCACCGAACGATACCAGGATATTTTGAACTTGGAAATACCAGACTGGGTGTTGGATCCGTTTTCAAATGTCAACACAGCAATATCACCTCAGCTGGAAGAAGAACTTATAGAATTGACAACGAACGAGGAAATAAAAATCAAGTTCAAAAATGGCTACCAAGAATTTTGGCTACAAAAACCGATCCCGCAATTATACCCTGGATTGTGGTCAATCGTTCAACGATCCTTGATAGCATTCCCATCGTCATATTTGTGTGAACGTGGTTTTAGTGCTGTGACAACGCTGCTTACCAAAAAGAGAAATAGTTTGCATGTTACCGAACATGGTGGCTTGCGGCTGTTCTTGAGTAAATTGGAACCTGATATCAACAAACTTATTAAATAGCACCAGATTCATCCTTCATATTAGTTTTTATATTAGAATCGATTATGTTTGTTTTATTTTGAATAAAAGATACTCTGTCTGAATATTATAAAGTTGTGTTTCAATAATCATTCTCATTGGCAGGTGTAGCCAGGAAGAGTTAACTTGAGGCCTGAGCGCCGTTGTGTACTACCTACTGCGCTCAGGTCTCAAGGTAACTCTTGCGGGTCATAGTAAAAGTCTCGTTTAGAATGAATGTTTAATCTCTGCTAATATAGCTCACAATAATTAATTTAATTTGAAGTTATAGCGGTTTTTAAGTAGGTGAAAAAATGGCGGCTCTAAAAAATAATTTATTCTCAAAGTGGACAGTAGACAAAATAAGTTTGGGAACCCCTGGTCTAGATCAACCCAAACTGATCGCGATTCGTTGAAGTTTACGTCTCCCCACGTTACATCCACATCAGAGCTTTAAAAATATTTACTAATTTCCAGTGTTTCTTCATGACCAAACCGTCATACCATTCCCTTTTTAACCGCCGACGCAAAATGTATGACTTTGATGGGAATACAATGAAATACAGTGAATGAAAAGTTGCAACACTCAAACAAACCTTTCTAGGCTTAAAGGAGCTTTTCCACCGGCGTGGCAAGGCGAGACGAGGCAAGACGAGGATTGAAATTTACATGACAAAATTTGAATTGCTGGTTGCGGGGTGCATGTAATTTGAGATTTAAAAAACATAATTTCATATTGATGATTTTTCTTCCGTTAACATAATTATTTAATAATCATCATTTCCGGAACATGTTCTTCAGCCGCGTATTTATCACTAGATGAACTGAACAGCACTGAATCTTCAGTCACAGTGAGCTATTAATAGCAATTTTTGGTGGAAATAGGCCGGCGCGATTTCAATTATCGTCTTAGGAGTCACTTATGTCACCTTTAGAGTGCCAAGAATGTAATTATAAGCATCATTGACATATTTGTCATTAACATCAACAAAAAAAGAGGGTAACTAAAACGTATCTATGACTCTGTCTATCTCTGGCATCGAAGCTCCCAAAAGCGGGACCGATCTTAAGACTGCGCCGAGGCACCGATACATAATTGCGAAGTAAATGCGTCCGTTTGATCCCTTGCTTCATAGTTATTACTAAAGCTTTAGTTATGTAATTAATGTATAAGATATTTAAGAATTCACTGCATATATAAATCATACTCCTTAGAAACACGATTACTTCGTAGCTTCGTCTATAGAAAAAAAATTGAAGTTATTTCTAAAAAAACAAAATAAACCTTAAGTGCGGAGAAAATATTTCACGGAAAGTCATCAATTTTAGAATAATAACAAAACTACATCCAACTATATACTCCGTACATTTTCAAAATGTGTATTCGTTTTATTAATACGAAGGAAATACCTAAATTCGCACGCGGTCCCCCCTGACCGCTTTGGCCCTGCTTCGGTCATCGGACGTTCTCGCTTAGGCTTAGACACGGCTTTAAAAATTACACGGAACGCATAGAATACCTAAAATTAATTAGCGTCAGAAGCTCGGTGACCTCTTTAAAGCAGTTTCTTTTTTAATATGAAGACAAACTTAATCTTTATCCAGCTAGTGTCTCAGTCATAAAATCAGTATTTATTTTATTTGCACTAATCCGATCAACGTGGTTTATAATTCAATAACATTACAATAATGTAGTAACCATGATCTAATTCTACAATCAGGACACTCTGCAAACCACTTAACTCCTCATCCACTCACAGCATAACAGTCATGTTTATGCTTAATGAATTGGTTTTGACGAGTAGCTTTGCAGTTGGTGACTCTTTGGAGTACAATATTTTTTGTAACAGTGGTATTTTAAAAAATAGGCCTCAAAATAAACACCAAAAGAACAAAAGTCCTCCTACCTCCTGACCAACTCAAGACGCAACGCAAAGAACGCCCGTAATCTTAGGCGGAACCAACATAGTAGTAACGAAAGAAATTAAATACCTAGGCACGTAGGTAATCTTTAGTCACAGCTGCCAAACACAGTATACACAAGATGTGAACAAGCAATCAAGAAAGCCAAAATCCCCATTTGGTAATGCTATCAAAAATCGGATGGCAAATAGACCGCTTAATATACTAGATGATCATGAAGCCTCGATAATTTACGGCCCTGCAGCAGCCGCACTAACAAAAGCCAATAGAGCGAAGCTGAGAAGGCACGAAAGGTTAACACTTAGAAGTATGATTAACTACGCAGGAACTAAAACAAATGAAAGAAAAATACACGATGTATTGAAGGCATTGACTTACAAATAAATGGACGACGGGTCTAATATAAAAACCACGAAAAAAATGTCCCAAGTCAACCTATTTAAACGTAGTGACAT